AATATTTGCGCCATGACCGCAGCAAGGAAGCTCCCTGTAGGGCACGGAATTTTGTGTCCATATTTTGGCGTTCCAAAAGTTCGAACTTTTTGCGGGTAAGTCAGGTTTTCTGATTTTCAGAGAAGACAACGCTTACGGTGATTACAGAAGGCAGATTTTTTGAAGTTATACTTCTTTAGGCGCGTTATGAAAAAATGATGAGAGTGAAATTTTAAGATGCGCGCGCATCACTGTAACACAAAAATTCGCTAAAGCGACCAACTTCATGCTGTTACTTTTGTGTTTACCGCACATTAAGAAAATCTACCAACAAAATAGAAATAGAATCTCTATTTAGTGGGTGCTAACGACTGCATTGTGAAGGCCTATCAAAAGTATTTATTAATCTGGAACAACGGAACCAAAGCGCGATTCAGGAGACTACAGCGACATCTCTTGACCATTGGTGTAGTAGAACCAAAAACCACATCATTATTTTTTGTAATAAAGTGACAGTTATAGGTATTCATATTTATAATATTTATCCACATGTTTCTAGTTTGTATATTCGGAATACGTGTTTGAGTTTCATACAAGTGCAAATCACATATGTTCTAATAAATTATATTCAGTAGCGATTTTAATTGAATATTTTGATTATTTATTTATTTTTTCAAATTAAAACTGAACTTTATTGACTGTGTCCTTTTCCAGACTTTTTATTAATTTATTGTAATTAATTATTTGCATGCAATTAAAAACTAATTTTAAACGATGCCAAAGAAGGATAACTTCTCACGCGCCTACATAAGTACACGCACCCATTTTTTTATCTGAGCTATTTGATAACTGACCTTGGATGTATGAAGAAATTATGTAAAAGTTACAATTCCAGCGTTTACGCAAATCATTAGGCCGAGTGTGGTGGCCCGCTTTTGACACAAAAATGTCAAAATGTTTTTGTAACAGTAGTGCTAAATGGATTTCAATGATTTTGAGTAATTCACGCCTGCGCAAAATACTAAGTACCTAGTTACGTATGTACCTTCCTATCGATATGAATTGAACAAATAAAAAAAATCCTATTTCCTACCGAATGATGTAAAAATTACAACGATCACTCAACTGGATTTGAATTTGACATTTGGCAAGAAGCTAATTAAATTAAATTATTATTTATGCAAATATGGAAAACGTAATTTGGATATTTTACGCTTCCGTGCTGACTTACGCATTTAAAAAAACAACGGATTAGATACAAAAGGTCACATATGCCATGCCGTGCGGATAAAAAAAATAGCAAAAACCACAATATTATAATATTTTAATTTTAATTTTTGCAACCAGGAAAATGTAGACATCTTAGGCATTTCAATGGGTCTTACGCCCCCACGACAGCGGCTAACCCCCCACGACAACGGCTAACCCCCCACAACAACGGCTAACTAGAGCCGAGGTCCGAGTCTCAGAGACGCCCTCTAGTTGAGCCGACTTCGAGGTTCCAGTGGTCTCGAGGCTCCCGCCGTGATGAGATGCCATCTGCCTGGAATACCTCTAGAGGCACTCGCCAATTCACGGCTTGAGGTCCCCTTAGGATCTCGCCGTCCCCAAACCAGGTGACGCTGTAAAGGTCATCTGTGACCAACACTCAACAAAAAAGGGTCTTCGCGCTTATCTTACAAATACTAAAGCACTCGTGGTCAGAGTAATAAATCAAGTCAAAGTAAGTGGCAGTCAAGTCAATCCCCCTTTCCCTGTTTCAGTAAAAGTGTGGGGATTTACTGGAACCTCCCCGTGGACTTCTTGAGGGAACGTCGAAAGACACTTTCCGCTATTTTGTTTCACTTGCCAACACTTGTGCATGTTCCAGAACACTTAGTGGTTAATAATCCACCATTATTAGACACTAACATCCGCCACAACACAATTTTTAACAAGAAAAACAAAGCTGCTAAAGTGACGCTTCCCGATCCCGTTAAAAAGACCGGGTGTTCAATTCGGCCGTTGTCAATGTAGAAAACACGGTAGAAAGTTAACTTTTTATTTGTTTGCATTGTAATAAGGACATTTCATACAGACAGCCAAACATCAAGTTAACTTTATATTACTAAGTTAAAGATTGTAAATCTACAATCTTATATCTAGTAGTGTAGTATCTATAAGTGGCTCAAAGTAAATCAGTTTTTGGCGTGTCTGTCTGTGCAACTGTCACAGGTGGCGCAAACTTTATTTCATCATTATCATCATCAGTCTATTATTCTGCCCACTGCTGGGGCACAGGCCTTCCCTCTGAATGGAATAAATGAGTAGGAATATTGGGCCATGACCTCCCACACGGACTAAGTACGGATTGGTGAGTGTTAACGACTGCAGATGCAGCCGGGACCAAGGGCTTAGCGATAGTAAATTTTCGGTCACCCATCCTGTGACAGACCACTGAGAAAGTTACTTAACTTCAACGATCCTAGTCGAACGCGCTAAACACTCGCGCCATCGAGTTCCTCTAAAATAAACTTTATTTACCAAAGTAATATACATATTTCTTTCACATAGGATCTTAACTAGGAATAGGAAGTACTTATAGATAATAGTGATGTAACGAATGTCATTTTTTGAACATTCGCGAATGCGAATGCGGATGCGAATGTCTGGTACCGACATACGCGAATGCGAATGCGAATATTTAGTTTTTTTTTTAATTGGCGCCAATTGTCTATGGCATGGTGGCAGTCTCGTTAGAATTGCCGAGTTGACATGAACTCATCCGACTGAAGTGTCATTGCGCTCGCACCGGTCTTTCCGTAAACAAAACAAGTGAATTTTGAGGTTGGTGATTGTGAGTGGTAATAGTGATTTATTAACATGAGTGAAACATGGACTTGTTTCATACTTTGCGATGCTGAACGAGCTAAATGCAAACTGTGTAACAATGAATATTCAAGGAAAGGCAGAACTACAACTTCTTCAAATTGTTTTTTTCTAATGTTCATATTCGCAAAACATTCGCAGAGATTTTGGAGTAAACTCCAAAAAAATTAACGATTAAAGTTTAGTACAACGATTTTAGTTACTTTAATATAGGGGCGGCGGACGCCGCGCCGCGCCGGCGCCGATGAGATGCTTGCCTACGGAACCGGCGGCGGCGGCGGCGCTCTCAATGTTTAATCCGCCACTACCGCGGGGCACAGCAAGTAGGTCTTCTTTGCCGATTCACTCTTGACAGAGCGGTCGTGGTCATCAGGTAGCGGTCAGGTTCCGGGCAGCCATAATCCTCTTCACGATGCGACGCCATCCTTCCCTGTCGGTTGTGCTACGTGTGCACTCGTGCAAGAGCCCGCCTACTGCCGATTTGATCTGGTCGGTCCAGCGCATGGGCGACCTGCCACGTGCCCTCGTGCCTTCGACCTTCCCCTGTACTACAAGACGCTCTATGGACGTGTTGTCCCGTCGTGAAACGTGCCCAAAGAACTGTAGTATTCGAGTCTGGACTACGTTTGTTAGCAAGTAGGTACATAATTCAAATTACCTATTTGCCAACCCTACAAAATGGTCGATTATTCCAAGGGCAAAATTAAGTAATATCGCACATCGAAACGAAACACTCGGATTCTCAACATTCTTAAGAAATATAAGTAGAAGAATATTCATAATTTACAACATAATATCGTTTAATTGAGCAATAACTACACAGCGTTACGTATATTTACAAATTATTACATTTTATTATGAATATGTTTTTTATTTACATATCAATGAGTATGCATAGGAAATAAATTGTTATTATTGAATGAATAACCACATATAACATGCCGTGAACATAATATGTTTGGGATGTCTTAACAATTTTAACATACCTAAAATATTATAAAACAAACCTTTGACAACCTTCGTGGCCGAGTGGTTTGGACGCTGTCGGGTTTCATGCCGTCGACGACTCGAGAGGTCCCGGTTTCGAATCCCGGTGGGGGCCGATTTTTGTGTGATGAATACGAGCATTTGTACTCCAGCCATGGATTTTTAATAAGTATTTCTATATAAATATACTTATATGTATAGGAATGAACAGTATATGTATTCTATCCGTTACCTTTGTATCCCATAACACAAGCCTTACAGTGCTTACTTTGGGGCTAGGCTAATTGGTGTGAATTTAAAAAAAACTACCAAGTGCGAGTCGGGCTGGAGCACAAAGGGTTCCAACCACAGAACACAGAAAGAGGTTAGAAAGGCCTTGTTTGACGGGGTAAACGCGCCACAGTTATGTGTGAGCAAATGCTCATAACTTGACCAAAACTTTGCACTGATTGCGGCGTTGCTCCCGGGTCTGAGCGCTGATTGGTTCGATTATTTGATGTCGCGTTGTTTGATTGGCTATCTATTAGATGGAAGTGTAGTAGGGGCAGCCGGCGGCATCGCTTCCCGTACAAACGATCTGTGATCTGACAAATGTCAAATATCTATTACTGGCTGCTTCTAGACACAGCGACATTTTGCCGTGTAGTGGCGGAGTATTGCATATCACACCAATGTCTAAAATGGCAGCTACCGAAATCGGACGTGAGATTTTATTTTACATAATCGCCCCAGTTCTTTGTACGCGATCTATTTCGGTGGACTAAAGTCCCACGTCTGCGCAGCCTTATAGTGTCGCTGCACACGGGCCACACGCCATAGCCACAAACGCCGCCACGAGAAGCTAGAAGCGGCTACTAAAGTGGCTGAAGCGCGCGACAGCGGCCGACTAAGGTTAGGGAGAGAGGGGTGGGGAATCGCGCGAATGACGTGTGGCGGCATTTTGTATCGGCGCATTAAGTAGCCGGTGCGGGCGACAAGAAACGAGCAACGACGATTTGTAGCGTGTGGCGGCCACCGGCGCGTACCGTGTGACGAGTCCATATAAAATGTATGAAAACTACAAGAAATATGCCGGTGGCGGCGTTTTGTGGTTGTGGTCCGTGGCCCGTGTGCGGCGACACTTATTAATATTAACTATATTAATTATCTAATACTTTTACTTCAAGGTTTTCGCGGTGATGGGTTGCTGGTGTCAAGAGGCCATCATCAGGAATGACTTCGAAGGCCCCAACCCTGACGGCTCCTACAAATGGGCACTACAAACAGGTATAGCTTACTTTACTACTACATATTAAAGAACATGAGGAGCACGATGGCGCAGGTGGATAGCGCGTTCGGCCTGAGATTGGAAAGTTAAGCAACTTTCGCAATGGTCGGTCATTGGATGGGTGACCAGAAACCTATTTCACGAGTTCTTCCGTAATTCGGAAGGCACGCTTAGCAGTTGGTACCGGGTACATATGCAATCGTTGGCACCCACCAATCCGCACTGCGCCCACATGGTGGGTCATGGCTAGTGTTGCCAGGTTCGATTTGTTTTAAATCGGTACATGAGGTCAAACAAATCGGGGCTTAGGGTTGCAGATCGGGACAGTAAACAAAAAACAAGGGGTTTTTAACTCTGAGTTTAATTTATTGCGTTTTAAACTACTAGTGCAAGTATAGTATTACATTAATTACCTTAATTTCATTTTTTGATTAATCGGGACATTTAGCGTCCCGATCAGGTACAAATCGGGAAGCGTCCCCAGACCCCTGAAAATCAGGACGTCTCGCGCAAATCGGGCAACACTAGTCATGGCCCAATTCTCGCTTTCTATCCATAGGAAGGCCTTTGCCCTAAACTGGGGACATTAATAAACTGGTGTCTATGATTATTAAAGGACAAAATCCCACTAAAGTCAAATTTAGGACCAATTCTGAATCTGAAAGGATTTTTATGCAGTTTTAATTTTTCATAATTTGACATTATAAAAGTCATCACCTTAACCACCCGGCACCCGACCAACACCGCCTCGGCGCGCAGTTCACTCGTGGACGCCGCGCTGTCAACCAGCTCACGTCGGGTGTACGCCTGAGGCCGGGACTCCACCAAAGCGGAGACGAGACGAGCGGAGAGGAGATGTTTTAAAACAACCAATAGAATTGTGTTATTGACACATCTCCTCTCCGCTCAGCTTCAGTGGAGATCGCTGTGCGGAGATGTGTAATATTTGTATGGCGCTATGGAAGCGGAGACGTAAGCTGTGCGCGGACGACGCGTAGCGCAGACGAGAGATGTGAGCGGCGTGCAGTGAGCAATGTCACCCTCCACCCTCTCGCCCGCCAGCAACTCACTCCAGCACTCAACGCCTCGCTCCCGAGCTGAAAAACATTTCTTCTCGCATAGCACACAGCACACCGCACACATCTGTGGTTTGGTGGAGTCCCGGCCTTATTGTCAACCAGTTGTCGATGGGTGAACGCCGAGCTGACGCGTATTGAATTAAATAGTGGTTAAATTAAATAGCGAGGAATACACAAAACTAAACCGGCATTTTCTCTCAACCACACACACGTCTGAATTGACATATTTCAAAAACGTGAGGTCATGTAGGGCAATCTATCGCCTATGATGGCGACTAGAACACTAGCGCTTTGCACCTCCGCCGGAACTAAAGGTGTAACAAGCCGGTTAACAACCGGCCGGCGCACGGGGAGTGTGCGGGACTGCGACTCCTCCGACATAGGCCACAAATACCAACACTACACAGCTAGCATACTTGCACACTAGCTTAGCATTAGGCAGACACTGCACCCATAGGATAAGAGTGCGAAGACCCGGTCTACACACGACACGCTATATGTAACTAAACAAAACGGGTAACTAGAGCCGAGGTCCGAGTCTCAGAGACGCCCTCTAGTTGAGCCGACCCCTTCAGGTTCGAGTGGTCTAGAGGCTCCAGACAGAGAGCAGACTCTTCCCTTGGGGAGATGCCATCCGCCTGGAATACCTCTGAAGGCACTCGCCAATTCTCGGCTTGAGATCCCCTTAGGATCTCGCCGTCCCCAAACCCGGTGACGCTGTAATGGTCATCTACGACCAACAACATACACACACAAAACAAAGGGACACGGGGAGCATGCGGGCAGCTTGCATGCGAGGCGAGGCGGTGCCGGTACGGAGTTGTGTAGTGAGCGCATCTCTAAAGAAATCCATACAATGAATATCAACCGCTCGAGTTGAGACGGTGCTGGTCGGGTGCCGGGTGAGCTATGACCTGAATACAACGGCCCGCTTGGTCTAGTAATTAGGCTAAGGACTCACGGAGTAGTTTTCCCGCACACATCGCGGTTTATTTTAACAACAACTGTTTTATTGCGAAACTTACAACACCGCAGTGTTATGCAGGCCTGCATCAGGTGCTGCAAATGGCGGAGTCAGTTTTGCTTTTGCGTTTTACCTACAATTTCAAATTCTCTTATAGGTCGTGGCAAGTAACTCTAGCGCTGAACAAAACGCGGAGGGGATAGCTGCGCATGGGTACGACTGGAGAGCCAATCGGCGCAACGCACGCCCACCCGCGCACCTCTGTTTCCCCCCAAGACCTCTTAATTTTTACTTCTGCGCAATTACGGTCAGCGCTAGAGTTTCGTGCCGCGACTTATGCGCGAGTTGCGATCTCGCAGCCGCAGAGTTCTTAGCCTTAGTTATCCTAACTGCTGACTTTTTTCCCAACAGAGGGTGGTATATACCACGAACAGAAGGGATCCCTGCAGCCTGGCAGTGAAGGACCATCGCTATTGGTGGAGGGACAGTATCAGTACACCGCGCCTGATGGACAGGTAATAAAGGGCAGTTCTCTGTTATTCTATAACTATTTATAACAAAGTAGATATCAAGAGCAGAAGGGGTCTTTGTTGCGTGGAGCGAAAAAATCATCGCATCTGATGGAGGGTCAGTATCAGTACACCGCGCCTGATGGACAGGTAATAAAGGACAGTTCTCTGTCATTCTACAACTATTTATAACAAAGTAGATATAAGAGCAGAAGGGGTCTTTTTTGCGTGGAGCGCAAAAACCATCGCATCTGGTGGAGGGTCAGTATCAGTACACCGTGCCTGATGGACAGGTAATAAAGGGCAGTTCTCTGTCATTCTATAACTATTTATAACAAAGTAGATATGAAGAGCAGAAGGGGTCTTTGTTGCGTGGAGCGCAATAATCGTCGAATCTAGTGGAGGGGCCAGTATTAGTACACCGTGCCTGATGGACAGGTAATAAAGGACAGTTCTCTGTAATTCCATGACTGTTCTTAATATAAGAATCTTAAAAGAAAAGAAGTTTGATTAAAATAAAAGTTGTCACATTCTTTGCGATAATAAACAATGGAATGAGATATCACTTGTCACAATGAAGTTAAAATAATCAACGTGTCTGTTTCAAAGCCCTATGTAGGTAATGATCAGATCTTTAAGAAACAAATAAAGTACAACATAAAAAAAACTGACAAGTTGAGAACCTCCCAATTTTCAAGGTCGTTTAAAAATATGCTAATATACCATATCTATTGCAGGTGATCAACGTCCTGTACAAGGCCGACGAGTACGGATTCCACCCCCAGGGGGAGCACCTCCCCACTCCGCCCCCCATCCCGCCCGCGATACAGAGGGCGCTGGACTACCTCGCTACCCTCCCACCGAATAGGGATTACCAGTGAAAATAATAATGTAAACAATATATGGCGGCAACATCTATATGCCACACATATATGACCTGATGAGGAAGGGGTATGAGAAAAAGTGGTTGGCGCTGCGATGGTTGAAGGTTGGTTCTTGCTGCTGCTGTGCTCAGTCGAGGGTCACCAATGTAGGAAAGCCAAAGGGGAAGATCTTCCGAGCTGGGTGATGGCTCGGGGGCCGCCGCCCGACTGATGTTGGTCGGGCATTGTATATATTAAGTATTTTGCCTCCGAATTTCCCTTGCGCGATGTAGGCTTCAATATAATGCGATTCAACTAAGAATAGGTCCGACTGGGCGCCATATTTTGACGTCATAGCTGTCAATTCAAAACAAATAGGTAGAGTGAGCAAAAAAAATTTTTTTTTAAAAAAACTTCTGTCTAAGATTAAGTGAGAAAATACATCAGATTTTTTTATTAAAATATTTACTAAAATTGAGAAAAAAAAACAACTAATTTTTAATAATATTTATTTATTAAGACTGTGAGAAAAAACATAAATCAGAATCTAGCTTTTCAATCCCGCTCATCTCTGCATTACCGCCGAAGTGGTTATGAATAATCATGGTCACATACGAACATGCATCCTTTAGGTAAACGAAAGTTTTAAATTGAGTTTCTGAACGCAACTTAAAGTGAGATTTGGTTGACGGTTTAGGTTATCAATCATTCATTCAACCAAAAAATATCAAACAAAATTAATTATCTATATATGTTATTGTTTGTTTACAAATGTGTGGTTCATATTCTAGAATTAGCAGAGTGCTAAAAAAGGGTTCCAAGATTTTTTGCAAACCGTACTTTTCAAGCGACATTTGACAGTTGGAGGTCATTGGCTTTCCTATTCTTATTTGAATCACATTATACTTATTGATCGCAGTGTCGGTAGCGCCATCTCTTCATCAGGAGACGACTGATTATTTCCTCCATCCACTGGATATATGTTGGGCATATAGATGTCGCCGCCACAATTATAATACAAGGCATTACAAGATTGAGACGTCACAGTCGCATTTTGGTTCTCAAATTCAACATTTCGACAATGGAAAAGCGAAATCGTTTAAACGCCACTTTAGTAACTTTAAAGTAACGAGCATCAAAGTTTTTTTGCACACATTTTTTTAAAACACTGCACCAATCCACACGGCCTGCTTCTGAGCTTTGGTGAGGTTGTGCGGCACCCAGCGGGAAACTATCCTCCTTACGCAAAGGTGCTCGTGCAAAATCTTGTGAAACACTTTCTGAACCAATCTGAAGAGTATGCTGAATCTCTGTGTACATAATTCGTATGTTTTCTTGAATTATTTTTTTTACTGCCAGCACACTTTCTACGGTGACAGCCGTCGTAGGACGACCACTCCTTTGTTCATCCCCCAAAGTAAGACGACCGCGTTTGAACTCGCTACACCAGCGGTAGATAGTTGCTTTCGAAGGTCCTTCATCCATAAAAGCAGTTCGAAATCGATCAAATGACTCGTCAGGTTTAAAGCCACATTTAAAATCTTAAAAAATCATATCACGAAAATGTTCTCGATGCAGATCTATTTTTTAATGAGACAAGAAAAAAATAATTGGCTCTCGATAAAATGCGGAGTGAAATTTGAAAGTCGAACAGTGGTATGTTTACTTTTATTAATCGAAGTTTTCAAAATAATTGCAAGTGGCCAGTGTCTTATACATAAAAACTTTTTATCGCAAAACTTTCTGAGTGGCCTGGTATATGAGTGATGCGTGCGTTGCTCCATTCCCTTTTGCCTTATGCACCGCCTAATGATAGGTTATTTAAGAAAAGAAGTTTAACTTCATATGCGTGTTTCGTGCACACAATTTTTTTAAACACTTAATTTACGCAACCGCAGTTTTAAACTAAGTAGTTTAAAATTCTGTAAGTGTATCCTAAATAAATAAATAAATTGTAAGAACTTTACCCTGTTATTAATAACCTAAGAATACGCTTGGATTAGTTACGACATGTTTTGTCTCTATCTATTAAATGATAAATGGCATTTGAGAGACATGAATTAAACACGGCGTAAATAGTCTAAGCTTTATATTTGTTTATTTTAGGGGGTAAAAAATTACAACCCTGAGTGACAAACTTTAAGAAAATAAAACAAATGAATTTAACAAAAATCATTTATTACAAGACTCTACATGACATCTTTCAATCTTCTTTGACGTTTAAAAATAGGTACTTTTTGCAAAAATATGACATATTGTATGACATATTACAAGGGACTTATTGACTTTGGACCACTTACACCAAAATATTGTTAAATCGGTTCAAATTCAAAAATAATTTATTCAGTCTGAGCTGTTACAAGCACTTATGAACCTTGTACTGAGAAGAACCGGCAAGAAACTCAGCAAGGGCTGCTTTCTTCTCCTTGTATTATTGTATATAAAGAGAGTCGTCAAGTTGAAAAATGACTTCAGAGATAATTCTGAAATCACCTTCCATTACATAATTAGATTACAAAGCTCACTTGCAGGAATTTTGCTAAGTCTCAATTTAACTAGATTCATCCCATATAATGACGTCAAATTGACACTGGTGTAATTTCTGGCATGATTCTCTAAATCTAAACATAAATTTGACAACAGTGTACCCTTGTCATTCTCTATACAGAATGAAAAGGATAGACTGATTTTAAGATTAGATAATTGTGCCAGAATCGACACCGTTGATTGACATTTTGTAATTTTTCTTTGGATTACATCTAGTTTTTGTTGAATCAAGATTTGGCATATTTACTGCATGTGCTCCTGAGTTTCGCGTTATCTTATTTGACTTTAAATAATTGATAAAGATTTAATGATGTCTTAGACAGAATAAGCCTTAATATAATATAATAATGTTGATGCAAGCGAATCTTAGGCATTCAATTGAGTGTGTATCCATATTTTTGTGCGGACCTTGATGGCCGTTTGCACCAAACTTAGTAGCTTCCTAAATCCATTCTTAAATAAATAAATCACATGTAAGTGTCAAATCAGGGCTATCGCGTATAAATCCGCCGCTAGAGGCGCTTGTGTAGCGTGCGGTCACCGAAATGTCATTAATGTTATTGCTTTTTTTTCTGAATGGCTTCGCACGGCTTGTGCATTTAGCCAATGTCAAGTGTTAAAATGTTTACAAATTCTATAGCACCCGTGGTCAAAGTAATTAATCAAGTCAAAGTAAGTGGCTGTCAAGTAAAACCCCCTTTCCCTATGTTTCAGTAAATGTGTGGGGATTTACTGGAACCTCCCCGTGGACTTCTTGAGGGAACGTCGAAAGACACTTTCCGCTTTTTTGTTTCACTTGCCAACACTTGTGCATGTTCCTAAACACTTAGTGGTTAATAATCCACCATTATTAGACACTAAAATTCGCCACAACACAATTTTTAACAAGAAAAACAAAACTGCTAAAGTGACGCTTCCCGATCCCGCCAAAAAGTCCAATGTTATTGCTTGTAGGTTGACTACGCGGGTTTATTTCTTATTACAATAATGTTGTGAATATAACTCCGATTAATTATGGCAAATATGAATTACGTGTCAATGAATATCACTAATTTAAAAGCGGAGCTTTATTGTTATTTTTTTTCGAAAAAATCGGAACTGCGCACACTGGCATGGCCAATTACGTTTACGATACGGTTCTTTTGTATAAAAATATGATTTAAATGTAAACTTTGATTTCACGCTCGTAATAACAAACTTTAAAAGCTAAACTTCAGGACCTCATTCAACAGTGGCGCCATCTGGTGAGAGAAAAAACGGTAGCCCTCATTGGTTTGCAAACATAAATTTTAGAGAATTTAGTACCAAAGCTACGTCGCGCAGGTGTGGATGAAACACGGTGAAGTGTAGATTGATGCAAACGGACCTCGGATTTAGTTAACAATGTTTATGTACTTTTAAAGACTTATTAAATTAACAAATTATAATTATATGAAAAACATGTGTAAATAAAGATGTACAAACAATAAAATATTCTTTTCATTATGCAGTCTTTCGTTTCTTAATTTGGTATTCAATTAATTACTTTTTTGTAGTAAACTTTTCTTTAGATTTAAACATCTAGCAATTCAATGCTTATAAATAAAAACATAACTAAATTTGCTATTTCTTCTTTCAAATGTTTAATACTTGTAAAAGTATTCATTTGACATTGTGGGTTATCTACAATGCGAAGAGATGGCGCTGCCTTGCAGCCTAAGGCTAGAGAAAATTCGACACGTCCGTCAGGGCCGGGGTAGCATAATGGTCAGTGCGTTCGCCCGGATAGCGAAGGGTGCGGGTTCGAGTCCCGTCTGCTGCCTGGTCCGAGTGGAATTTTTTCTAGTAAACTTTTCTTTAGATGTATTAATTAAACCCAAGAAGTAGATAATGTTACATTACAATACATAAAAAGTGTAATACATAGAAAATTAAATTCAATAAAGATTTCATTTTTATTTAAAAAATCAATTCAAAATGCTTTCAAATGATTTTAAATAACACTTTTCTGAACCAGGAATTGAGACCAAAAAATACTGTGAGTTTATTGTAGGTTCCAATGGAAAGGCTTGCTTAACATATTTAATTGTTCCTAATAACATAAAAATAAATCATTAGTTATATTTTTATTTTAAACATTTAACTAAAACTCGATATAGCCCATACAACAACGTCAAATTGACATTATTCTGTGGGATAGGTCAAGTTTTAGTCGAATCGAGATTTAGCAAATTTGCTGCAAAGGCAAATTAATCATTAATTTAATTTTCAGAAAGCTAAATTATTAAATTGTATAGTAGATTATTTTCAATTATTTAAAAATCTACAGATGTTGCTCGTATTTTTTTTTTTAATAAAATAGAAGCCCTCATTCTGTAACATTAACGCCGTGTATACAACGATTTTAAATACCCTAGATACACCAACACGAACAAAATTATGCCCGAAACCTGTCCAAAGGTACATTGGACGATCCTCGGAGCTTCGGTAGATGATCGCGTAGTCTAAACAATATAAGACATTATTTAAACATTGAAAACCACCTTTAAAGCACACTCTATAAGATCTTAATTAAAGCGCATGCGACAAAGAGATAGGACAGTCCAAGAGGTAAGCTCGTAAAATTTTACGACTTAATGCTATATGAGGAAAAATATAGACCTTATTTCTTTGACGCTACGCGCCATTCTGAATGCGCTGTTAGCAATATAACAGGTACGGACCACGAGTAAAACAGACGACTATATTACCGACCATGCATTTGAATATCACAAATATTTTCTATTAAATCAGTTTATAGTAAGTATTAAAACAAAATTTGCTTCAAATGCGTTAAATTAACAAACATTGATTACCTGTATAAACAATACCTGTCGAGAAAACGTCATTTTACATTTATTTCGCATTTTTCACGGAGCTCCGCGGTATGTTGACTTTTCAACGGTCCGCGCGTGACTGTGAACCAAGAAGTGCTTGAGTGGTGTTCAAGCACTTCTTAATTGGGACACATTTTGAGCACGTGGTGTATCTAGGGTATTTAATATCGTTGCCTGCATAGTAAAATGTACTATTGAGTGTCTTTTTAAAACATTTCGTATTACATAAGCATTTATAAATTATGTTTTATATAACCTTAACAGTAAAATATACATTTGAAATAATATAAATTGAATATTTTCAAAATAATTAAGTATGCACCTATCACCAAAACCGAACCCATATTAATTAAATAATAAACTTAAATCTAAACTATGGCATATTGTATTAAATCTTATAAAAACATACATTGAGGAGTTCGATTTTATTACCAAAAAAATTAACAATAAACTTTATAAAAAGTGTATATAAACTTACGTATTATAAATGTTCTCCAATAACAATAAATTGGGTTTTCTACACCATATCGAATGCCAGTTGATCGGTGACAATTAACCGGAACCCGATATGTCAACTTGCCATTTGATCGAAATTACAATAAATCTATTTTCAATAGATCGCTGTGACTTTAAATAAATCTATTTTCAATAGGTTCATTTCAATTAACAGGTTACAATACAAGTGTTGACAATTTCAAATAAAATTCTGGGATTTTCATTATTTTAAAAATCAATCTTGCTTGCTTTTTTGACACATCGATCATCAAGGCATTCGATTATTTGCAATTTGCTCTTATAAAACATCCATATAATTAGTTTTTGATCTTTTGGCATAACGAGCTACCGATAAATCGATTATTTGTCATTCAATCAAATTGCATGTTAATATATTGGGTTTTCGGTTAATTGTCACCGATCTACTGGCATTCGATAAGACGTAGAAACCCCCAATAAATACCATTTAAAAAATTCAGTCATAATTAATAATTATTATATCAACAATTATGGCATTTCCTACGTCTACGTACAGTCAAAAGAATTTGTGTTCTTGCATTTTTTTATACTTAAACTTCCATCTTTGTGACGACAACAAATATCATAAACTACCAATATAAAACAAAAACAAAATTCTTTTTTTTTTCTAACTTACATAAATAATATGTAAGTTATAGCGGCCTTCGGTAACATGTGGTTTTGGATTGACTCTCCGTATCAACAGCGGATGCGAGCTGAGAGCATTTGAGATGAAGGTATTTCAAAAACTATTGCTGGAACAAATACCTTGCGATAGGGACAACAGTAGTTAACGCTGAAAATTCCGAAAAATTGCGAAATTCGAGGTTTTGCTATTTTACGCTGGCTCCTCTCGAGTAGAGGGTCGTGTCATCAGCGAATAGGGCGAGCTCGATACCTCTGATTTTGGGGATGTTAAACTCAAACTCATTTACTCAGTCTAGGCTGTTACAAGCATTTATGAAGGTCAAGAAGCTACGCCATCGGTTCGCAAAACTAAGGCAGAAGACCTTGTACTGAGAAGAACCGGCAACAAACTCAGCAAGGACTGTATTTTTCTCCCTGTATTGTTATATACAGAGTCGTCAAGTTGAAAAATGACTTCAGAGATACTTCTGAAGCCGAAGTGTCGTTGGTGTATGCTGTGTACATTTTACTGTGTTTGCCTATCATCGGGTGTAGGCGGCTCATGTGAAATCGGGCGTTCGTGACTGTTTGGGTAGCGTGAGGACGGAAGGTGAGTCTTTTGTCGAGTATAACTCCTAGGTATTTAACGGTACGGTACCACGGTATCGTGGTGCCTTGCCTCGGCAACGGTCGCGCGCCGTATTCGATGATTCTGGAACGGCGTTTGGGGTCGAAGCAAACGCAACTGGTAAAATAAAACAGGGACACCCGAAAATTTCCTTTGAAGAGGCTTATAAAATAAATCTTTTAATCCTCTTACAAAATTTTATCGAGATTGCCCGGACGGGAGCACTGTTTCTTTTTTTTTCGCCGTCCACTCAGAAATAGACGGAATTTTCCCAATGGATATCTTGCTTCGTGCGCGTAATTGATTTTTATCTCAACACCAATCTAACAGTTGACTTACGTTTTGTATTGTGTCGTTTTTGGTTAGTTTTTATGCGAATTGATTCAAATTCAGAAGCTATTTTGCAGCAGTATTCAGAATAGTGGGTTTACGGGTTTACGTCGATCCTCCAATCACTGCATCAGTTCCCTAGTGTATTGACTGCTGTTTGGAGCCTGGGTACTATTTGTTTTACGCCGGCTCCTCTCGAGGAGAGGGCCGTGTCGTCCAAGAATAGGACGAGCTCAACACCCTTGGTTTTGGAGATGTCGTTAGTGTATGCTGTGTAGAGGAGGGGGCAGAGGGCGGATCCCTGCGGAACACCGGCTCGGAGTGGGCAGGGCGTTGAAGGAGTACCATCGTGTCTGTAACGGAAGGTACGATTTGTTAGGAACGAGACTATTAACCTAACTAGTCGGTCGGGTTATTCTAGTTGGTAGAGTTTATAAATGAGACCGGTCCTGCCAAACCTTGTCGAAGGCTTTAGCGACGTCAAAGAAAACAGCTATTGTTTTACATTTGTTGTTTTGGAAGCCGCTAAGGGCGTGTTCCACAATGCGGTGAACGATCTGAAACCGAATTGATTTAGATTAGAATGATAAGAGGGTCGTATGGTGATAAAAGATGCTCTCTTAGTCTTGTCAGTATTGTTTTTTCAAATAGTTTTCCCATTGCCTTGAGGAGGCTAATGGGGCGATGGCTACTTGGGAGGTGCGCGGGTTTGCCGGGTTTGGGGAAGCCTATCACGATGGCTTTTTTCCAGGCAGCTGGGAAGTAGCACACTTCGAAACATGCATTAAATAGGAGGGTGAGCAAGGTTAGTGCTTGAGTGGGAAAGTGCTTGAGCAACTTGCGAGAATGCAGCTTGAAAGAATAATCTTTTTGATCCAGTTGGCCGATACGAGATCTGGTGGGTCATCGTTGGGTGGGAGGCCCTTCGGCGGACCTCCTCCTCCATTTTGCGGATGTGATGCGTGCCGGTCGCCTGTGTGCTGGGTTGTGCATTGGGCTGTTCTGGGTGGGTTGTGCACTGTCCGTGTGAAGCATTCGGCTTTTTCGTCGTCTTCGAAGGCGACGGTACCGTCGGGGAGAGCGAGGGGGGAGTGTCCGCTATGAACTCCTCCTATCGGGAGTGTTTTATCTTGTCTTTGAATTATCGATTCGCAGTAGCCCTGAATTCGGGACGTGGGATATAGTTTTGCTCTCTGGAGAGCAGCGTTGTTCGGGAAACTAACGGGAGGATTAAATGCCTGGGTGTAAGTGAGCAGAGGTCAACTACTTTGCGCCAGACAGTCTTGTCCTTAAGGAATATTGGTAGCGGGAGCTTGGCTTTAGCCAGAGTCGGATTTCACCTACCGTGCAGTTTTAGAAGAGACGTCTAGGGACATCATTGCGGGGGCTGGGTCCGCGAGGGGATGGTGAAGACGCTCTCCAAAAGAAAAGCTGCGCTTATGTAGCCTCTTTTTCTTCCCCTTGACGGGGGTAGAAGGAGGCGTCATCTTCGTCATCAAAGGCCGACACCATGGTGGCCTCGAAAGTTGGAGTCGGAGCCGGACCATTCCGAGACGGTTCATTTGGCCGGAACTTGTTGGGAGACAGAGTGAGCCATGGTCCTGCTTCTCGAACATGGAGGAAAGGAGGGCCTCAAAACCTCCTTTTCAGAAAGGGGGTACCCGTGCGCCTTGGCGAGGTCGATCACTATATCGCCGAACGACATGCTGGATGTCCTCCCTGCCAGAGGCAGAGGGGCGGGGAAGCCTTGAAGAGGCGAGAGCATATGTTTAAACGGAACGACACTTGAGGACACTCAGGTGGCTCGGGCGCGGGCGATGCGAGAATCACGACATAGAACACAGCACTGCACAACACTTTACGTCACACGTCAACACTTCGCGGGTTGGTAGTACAATGAGCGAGGTAACTCTGGTCTAGACCGGGCGGGCTTACGTGATCGGAGCCGGAGGAGGGACACTGGGAGCAGTGAGACCGCGATCGGAACAATAATACCAACCTGTCGACCTGGACTTCACAACCTTTAAAACTGTGTCGCTGCGCCTCAGCTCGATCGAAACGCTCGACGACCTGGAGTCCAACCATAGACCGCTCCCCAAGACCTACTAGACGAAATCGGCATCTCGAAAAAAGCTCTCAAGCACTTTCCCACCCAAGTATTAATCTTGCTCGCCCTCTTATTCAATGCATGTTTCGAACTGTGCTACATCCCAGCCGCCTGGCAAGAAGCCATCGTGATAGGCATCCCTAAACCCGGTAAACCCGCGCACCACCCAAGTAGCCATCGTCCCACCAGCCTCCTCAAGGCAATGACTATTCGAAACTATTCGAAAAAACAATACTGACAAGACTAGGAGAGCATCTTTTATCACCATCCGACTCTCTTATCATACCAAATCAATTCGGTTTAAGATCCAAACATTCCCGCCGCTAACATGTTCACCGCATTGTGAAACACGCCCTAAGCGGCTTCCAAAACAATAGCTGTTTTTTGACGTCGCTCAAGCCTTCGACAAGGTTTGGTACGACGGCCTCATTTAAAAACTCTACCAGTTAGAATTACCCGAACGACTAGTAAGGTTAATAGCCTCGTTCCTAACAAATCCTACGTTCCGTTACAGATACGAAGGTAATCCTTCTACGCCCTGCCCACTCCGAGCCGGTGTTCCGCAGGGATCCGCCCCCTGCCCTCTCCTCTACACAGCATACACTAACGACATCCCCAAAAAAAAGGGTGTCGAGCTCGCCCTATTCGCGGACGACACGACCCTCTACTCGAGAGGAGCCAGCGTAAAACAAATCTTGGCCAGGCTCCAAACAGCAGTCACCACTCTAGGGAACTGGTTCAGCGATTGGAAGAACGACGTAAACCCAGACAAAAGTTGGACCATTTGCTTTGACCCCAATCGCCTTTCCAGAATCATCGAATACGGCGCGCGACCGTTGCGGATGTAATGCACCGCGATACAGTCGCAGCGTATCCTCAAACCCAAGTATTTGATTTTAGTTACACTCGACAAAAAACTCCCCTTCCGTCCTTACGCTACCCGAGTAACCGCGAACGCCCGATTTTACATGAGCCGCCTATTTGCGGTATTGCCGCAGAGCCACAGCCCCCCCCCCCCCCCCCTGATCGTGAGCGGCCAACTGCAGCTCAGATCCCAACCACTCCCTAAAACGTCACAGACCGCAATAGTTTAACAGTATGAAAAATAATGTACCGATTGTTGACCTTTGTATTTAATATTAAAAAACTTTTCTATAAAATCATTAAATAGAAATGATTGTTTTACTTCATGGTCACGAAATGACGTCACATGCAGGTAAACTTCCGGTCAAAGTGACATTACATAGAATGATGAATATCCATTTTTTACGGACTCCATAAACATTAGTCAATAAATACCCTATATTTCCTCCTCGAAAATTAGATATATTATGTTTGAATAATAAGTAGTTATACTATGCCTCTATGTTTTGCTTTTTTTTGTAAATGCTTATAAATAAATTTGGACACTAGACGTCTGTAGTGGTGATAAAAATTTGATTAATTTTGTAATTTTTGAGTTCTTCTCAAAAATGACAATTGGATAAGTGAGAAGTTTCAAGTTGTAAAAGCTACAAAAACCTTTGTAAATACCTGTTTAAGTAGTATTTTAAACAAAAATTCAAATTATGTCTAAAACATACGAATGCGTGTAAAAACTATTTAATATAAATTTGTTCAATACTCTCCAGCACAACAAAATGATTCGTATTCCACAGTGCGTAGATGTCAATATCCCATGCCCAAAAATTCGAAATCTCACTTCCCTGCAGTCGCAAAGAAAAATAACACTTAAGCCTTACGCAATAGTGACGCATTTTCTGTGTCACTTTCAACAACCACCGTTACCTAGAAGTACTTAGAGGTACCACAGTGTCCTTGTAGATGGCGTCGGTGTAATCTTGATCTACCGGAAGCATTTTCTGTCCTTCCTCTTGTGACGTCACTTGCGCAGTTTGCTTTTCTTCTGCAAGAGATTTTTTTAGCGTAAATAACTATGAAACTTTTTGATAAACGCTATAATCAGACCCGCCTTTCCCAGTGGGTACTTTGGGCAAGTGCCCAGGGCCCCTCAGATCAAATAAAAAGTCCCTAGTTCCTGTTAAATCATCAAACGGAAGTCATAGGGGCCCCATTATCCTAATATGCCCAGGGCCTCCAATTGGTCATCGACTCCACTGGCTATAATATTATAAATGCGGTATATTGATTTTATGCTCTGTAACCGAAACTTCGGATAATAAGGAACAAGGCCCTATAGAATGAGCACAACAATATGCATTAAATCACGATTTTCATCGCGTCTAACTGTCAAACTCCCTAGTTATTTGACATTACGGTATTACATCTATTTTTTGAAGTGTCTCAATTAAATTCACAAGAGTTATTATGCTACTAGAGTGATTAGCGCGTTCGGCTGCGATCGTTGAAGTTAAGCAACTTTCGCAGTGGTCGGTCATTGGATGGGTGACCAAAAATTTACTATCTCGAGCTCCTCCGTGCTTCGGAAGGCACGTTTAGCCGTTGGTCCCGGCTGCATCTGCAGTCGTTAGCACCCGCCAATCCGCACTGGGCCCGCGTGGTGGGTCAGGGCCCAATCTCCCTATTCCATCCATAGTGAAGGCCTGTGCCCCAATAGTGGGGACATTAATAGGCTGATGGTGATGATGATAATGAATATGCTACTTTAAAAAAAACAGAATTTCTATATTCTATCGTTAAACAAATATGAACTATATTTCTGAATACATATGAAATGAAATAAATCTGCAGATTTTTTTTCTAGAAAAAAATATAATTGTTTCAAATTCAGATATCGAAACATGGCATTATAAATCTAGCAGTTTAATGCACTTATAATAGCAATATATTTAGCTAAAATTAATATTTATTTTTTCTAATGTTAAATACAGGTAAATATATTTACAATGCAAAGAGATGGCTCTGCCTTGCAGCCTAAGAAATTGTAGAGGAAAATCGACATATCTGTATTACTTACTGTCGGCGTTCCTCATGACCAGTTTAAAGAGTACCACGTGTGCTATCGACGCGACCACCGCCACCGACGCCAGAATGCGGAATGACCCTCTCCCGCCCGCCCACGAGTATAATACGCCCCCCACCAACGAACCTAGCGCGAAACCTGAAATTAGTAAAAGTAATAAATATTTCTAATAAATATGGGAGGATCTCGATGACGCAAGTGGTAAGCTCGTTCGGCTGCGAACGTTGAAGTTAAGCAACTTTCGCAGTGGTTGGCCATTGGATGGGTGACCAAAATTTATTATATCCAACTCCTCCGTGCTTCGGAAGGCACGTTAAGCCGTTGGTCCCGCCTGCATCTGCAGTCGTTAGCACCCGTCAATCCACACTGGGCCCGCGTGGTGGGTCATGGCCCAAACTCCCTATTCCATCCATAGGGAAGTCCTGAGTCCTGAGCAGTGGGGACATTAAAAGGCTGATGATGATGATGATTTCTAAAGCCTGTTCTACACGCTGGGCAACATTACGGCGAATATTGTGGCAATGACATTAGCCAAGGGTTTGTGATGGAGTCCACACGTTGCAAGGTCGTTTAGTTTGCTTCGGTTCAAGTCCATGTGCGGACGAATTTATTAATTTCGATATATAGACGCTAACGGCACCTGATATTTATTTATTCACAGCATATCCCTATTATTTCATTTTCTCTGCACCTTCTTTCCGATTGACTGGTAGGGAATGCCAAACTGGCATTAAGTCCGCCATTTGCATTGTGAAGACAATAAAGATTTAATAAATAAAAAAATATAGTTAATACACTAATAGATACTATAGTTACGACGCGAGAATATAAAATTTGAATCAGGTGCGTGCATGCGATCAGCTCTGTCCCAGCCCTTTGAACTTTTGATAAAAACCGACACCAACCGAAATTGCGTTAACTTGTGTGTATTCATTGGGTCCCCCGCAGTCCCCTGCGGTCTTCAGAATGTACGCCGGGTGACCGGTGCAGGAGTATTGTCTGGTTTTTAGTGGCATTGTTCAAGGCGTTAGGGAGGGCCCAGCCCATTTAACCCGGCCCAAGGGCTGGCTGTAATGAGCAGGTCGGAGTCCCACACGCCTTCTTCTCGCTCCCCCGGTAGTAGAACGATACGTTAGGCATTTCCCAGACAAAAAAAAAGGACCATCATTCCAATACATGCCAAGATAAACTCACAGATTCTGAGGCCTTAACCAGAAAATGTTTAAAATCAATATTCTTTGATTAAGTTCTATTTGTTATGGCCATTGGCCATATCCATTAGCCACAATTTTGGCCAACGTGTAGAGCGGACATAACACTCACACCAATTACCCTTGTCCCAAATTGGAGCTCCCACATAAAACTGCGATGCAATAAAACGTCGTATAATGCGATTCAAATAAGAATAGGAAAGCCAATGACCTCTGTCTGTCAAATGTCGCTTGAAAAGTACGGTTTGCAAAAAAACTTGGAACCTTTTTTAGCACTTCTCTAATTCAAGATTAAAAACCAAACATTTGTAAACAAACAATAACAAATATTGATAATTAATATCGGTTGATATTTTTTTTTTACTTATTGAGCTTTGGCCATGAATGGTTGATAATCTAAACCGTCAACCAAATGTCACTTTAAGTTGCGTTCAGAAACTTGATTTCAAACTTTCGTTTACATAAAGGATGTATGTGACCTAGTAATAGTGCATGATTATTCATAACTACTCCGCCGGTAATGCAGAAATGAGCGGAATAGAAGAGCTACATTCTGATTAATGTTTTTTCTCACAGTCTTAATAAATAAATATTATTAAAAATAGTTTTTTTTCTCAATATTAGTAATTAATTGTTATTAAAAAAATTCTGATGCTTTTTCACACTTAATCTTAGTAAATGAGTTTTATTACATAAAAACTTTTTTTTGCTCACTCTACCTATTTGGTTTAAATTGACAGCTATGACATCAGAATATGGCGCCCAGTCGGTCCTATTCTTAGTTGAATCGCATTATATAGCAAAAACTTGCTAGCAAATTGCTGCGATACGATTTGTGTGCGGCGAAATGTTGGTTTAGATGACCATACCTTCAATGGTAGTCGGCCGTATTGGTTGTGTTTTAGGAACAGTGACATGGATCGCAAAATTATTATTGCACTGCTTTATTGTTTGTTATATAGATAAAGACGAGCTTTCGCAGTAGTAACTAAATTCAGGGTCCCACAAGGATGTAACTTGGGTCCAACATTTTATTCAGTATCTAAAGCAATCCTACTAATATTATAAATGTGAAAATTTGTATGTTTGTTACTCAATCGCGAAAAACTACCGAACGAATTTTGTTAGGTTCCTGTGGGATTATCAAAAAATCAATGGTAATAGGTGGACGAAGTCGCAGGCCGCCGCTAGTGTATATATAAAATATACTCACCGACACCGTCGTCCATTCCGGCCACGATACCTTGTACTGTGGCCGAGTATCCTTCAGGAGCAACTTGGGCAGCATATCCTACGATAGTGGAGTAACACAACGCGTATGTTGGGCCTTGCATTATTGACTGGAAAAAGTACGCCGAAATTATTATATGTTTAGAGGTACGGCATAGTGGATTAATTAACTCCACCTTACATAATACCAAATAGAGATCGTATGATCGGATGCATTTTTACCTTAACTTATTTTTTAATCATATAAGCTTTATAGGATATTTTTATTAAATATAAAATCACGAGATTGCGGGATCGTATAACTAATAACGATTTTCCTTTTCATGTCCAACACGATAAGGTGGAAAATCAACTGCCCCTCATGCAATAGTTTCTAAACCAAGTATACCTAGCGATTTTCTTTCTAATAACCAATACAAATAAAGTTGAAAATCGGTTAGCATTAAAGTAAGCGGTTCAAGTCCAGTCGGCTGCCTGGTCCGCGTGTTTTTTTTTCTATTAAAATTTGAACCATGAGTTTTAAACATCAATAAAAATTTTAGAATATAAAACCATTTTAACTTTTTACGTCCAAAGCATTAAGATTGAAAATCGTCAAACATTAATATAATTTACCTCAATAAACACGAGATGCCACGGATGCTGGATGAGAGATATTAACGCCATACGAACGCCGTAACAGCACAGAGACACCGTCATAGTGGTTCCGTAGCCAAAACGTTTTATTATTCTACCTGAAAATAATCAGAGAGCTGTATCATCCTCAACCTATTAATGTCCACTCCTGGGGCACAGGACTTCCCTATGGATGGAATAGGGAACCCTACTATATTAGTGGAACAAATACTATATTTCTAAAAAAATATATATAGTAGGCGAAACTACTTTATTTTGCTTAAAGCAAATTTTTGCCAGTAAAAGCGTTCTTAGAAATAAAAATGGGTGCGTGTACTTATGTAGGCGCGTGAGAAGTTATCCTTCTTTGGCATCGTTTAATATTAGTTTTTAATTGCATGCAAATAATTAATTACAATAAATTAATAAAAAGTCTGGAAAAGCACACAGTCAATAAAGTTCAATTTTAATTTGAAAAAATAAATAAATAATCAAAATATTCAATTAAAATCGCTACTGAATATAATTTATTAGAACATAATAATATGTGATTTGCACTTGTATGAAACTCAAACACGTATTCCGAATATACAAACTAGAAACATGTGGATAAATATTATAAATATGAATACCTATAACTGTTACTTTATTACAAAAAATAAAGATGTGGTTTTTGGTTCTACTACACCAATGGTCAAGAGATGGCGCTGTAGTCTCCTGAATCGCGCTTTGGTTCCGTTGTTCCAGATTAATAAATACTTTTGATAGGCCTTCACAATGCAGTCGTTAGCACCCACTTAATAGAGATTCTATTTCTATTTTGTTGGTAGATTTTCTTAATGTGCGGTAAACACAAAAGTAACGCATGAAGTTGGTCGCTAAAGCGACCAACTTCATGCTGTTAATAATTTGTGTTACAGTGATGCACGCGCATCTTAAAATTTCACTCTCATCAATTTTTCATAACGCGCCTAAAGAAGTAAAACTTCAAAAAAAAAATTATTGTTAAGGCATGGAAGAGCAAAAATATATTTCTTTTAAAAATAAAGTAGATTTTTTAACCTCATACTATATTTCTTCCATCTATTTGCCATCTACTATATTTTTAGAGGCTTCGAAAATACTATATTTGATAGAAAAAAGTTGTTAACCCTAGCCGTGAGCCACCACGCTGGCCCAGTGCGGATTGGTGGGTGCTAGACCGCAGATGCAACCGGGGCCAAAGGCTAAGTGTGCCTTTTGAAGCACGGAGGACTGAGAGATAATATGTTTTTGGTCACCCATCCAATGACCGACCAGAGCGAAAGTTGCTTGACTTCAACGATCGCATGCCAAATGCGCTAACCACCTGCGCCATTGAGCTGGCGCCCGGCATTTCAGAAAAACATCATTACAAGTCTTTTAAGAAATAAATATTTAAATATAATGCCCCCATTTTGCCCTTCAACGAATTATTCTCAGGAATCATTTGCTTAGAATCTACGATTCAGTCGAGAGAATCCCGCGTTCCCTACCAGCAGCGTTCCTTCCTTATATAAAACCCGCAATGCTACCTGGCTCTGTATAACTACATCAAGAGTTTGATGGAAGATATTTAAGTCTGGGTTTTGAATAATGAGAAAACTTGAAGAAAACTACTTCAGTCTAGGCTGTATGACTCATTTTATCGTCTTTGCATTTTCCGTTAAACGGAAAGAACGGAACCAAAAAAAGAAAAAAAAACTTAAGAAGTAGGTCGGTCGGGGACTTTTTGGCGGGATCGGAAAGCGTCACTTCACCAGTTTTGTTTTTCTTGTTAAAAATTGTGTTGCGGCGGATGTTAGTGTCTAATAATGGTGGATTATTAACCACTAAGTGTTCGGGAACATGCACAAGTGTTGGCAAGTGAAACAAAATAGCGGAAAGTGTCTTTCGACGTTCTCTCTAGAAGTCCACGGGGTGGTTCCAGTAAATCCTCACACTTTTACTGAAACATAGGGAAAGGGGGATTGACTTGACTGCACTTTGACTTAATTTATTACTCTGACCACGAGTGCTATAGTATTTGTATACATTTAACACTTGACATTGGCTAAAAGCACAAGCCGTGCGAAGCCATTTAGAAAAAAAAAAGAAGGAGGTCGGTCTGTCGCCTACAACTATAATCAACATACCCGAGAAATAAAAGAACAGCAACTCCCCGATGAAACTCTGGCCGGCGACCACTACGCCCTCTATGAGCTTGATCTTCTCCATGCTGCCGGTTTCTTCGCCCAACTCTTCTAGGAACCTGAGAGGAAACGAGAAGATTACAGGAGATTAAACAGTACCCTTACCACGAACCAATCATTATCATCATCAGCCTATTCATGTCCCCACTGCTGGGGCACAGGCCTTCCCTATGGATGGAATAGGGAGATTGGACCATGACCCACCACGCGGGCCCAGTGCGGCTTGGCGGGTGCTAACGACTGCAGATGCAGCCGGGACCAACGGCTTAACGTGCCTTCCGAAGCACGGCGGAACTTGAGATGGAAGATTTTTGGTCACCCATCCAATGACCGACCACTGCGAAAATTGCTTAACTTCAGCGATCGCAGGCGAACGCGCTAACCACCTGCGCTATCGGGCTCCAGGAACCATTATTAATTCGATATAGTTGAATGTCAAATACGTACTGATTTTTAGCTCTCGTTACGGCCGTTGTGACGCCTCTGTTCAAGTTTTCATAGAAAATTTGACAATGACATTTCGCACTCGCAAACGTAACGAATTCGATACTGGTTCGTGTTAAGGGTACTGGTTAGCTAATATGATGAACTCCGCGGCCGAGCGGTTTAAACGAGGAGAGGAATATAATTAGATTTTTTTGGGATTTTCAAAAAATCAACTTTAACGAAGAAGCCGCCGGCGCAAGCTAATAACATATTGGTGTCGATTCTGGCATGATTCTCTAAAGCTAAACTTAAATTTGACAACAGTACATCCTTGTCCTTCTCTATACAGAATGAAAAGGTGAGACTTACCTTAAATTAAGTTTTAAGTTTAGAGAATCACGCCAGAATTGACACCATTGTTACGTGTCGGGATGGGGTTCGAAATTATATGCCAGTTCACGCTTGACAGTTCTTTATTCACTACACAGTTCACACAATTAACACACAATGTTAATTACAAAACACTCACTAAACACTGTATTTCACTATACAAGTCTCTAAACTATCTCACTTGAACACTTTTGTTGCACTTTGATCGCCTTTGGATTCGCTCCGAAATCGCTGTTGAAACTCAACTGTCTCTGCGCGACGCCAATCGCGCTTATATACGCCGATCGACGCATTCTAGAAAGTACCTGTTAAATTGAGAATTAGCTAGCACCCGCGAGTACGAAGTACCTACTTATACCTACGCAGGTAACGCGCATAACTTGTAAACAAATGCAGATGTCGTTGCACTTTCGCCCTTACGCCGCTCTGCATAAGGCTCATTCTAGAATGAGCCGCATTACTCGACCTCTATTGCGACCCGCGGTGCTCTGGCACATTCGATCTCTAGCTCATTCGCGGTTCTGTTTCGAGAGCGTTTGTGACAATATATAAGTATATTAAGTTATATATTATTACTAGCTGTCCCAGCAAACTTCGTACCGCCATAAGAAATAGGGGTTGGTGGTAGAAGGGTGAAAATTTAGGGTTGTATGTATTTTTGTATATTGTATCTAAACAAAATAAAAACAAAAGATTATGTCCAAAAAAATTTAAAGATGGGCCATCCTTAACATTTAGGGGGATGAAAAATAGATGATGTCCGATTCTCAGACCTACTGAATATGCATATAAAATTTCACGAAAATCGGTCTAGGAGTAGGAGGTTTCGGAGTAGTTCAATTACGCACACCGTGACACGAGAATTTTATATATTAGATATTTATTTACTCATATTTGTTTCTTAGGTTTTCACGCACGTCACTCATTAAATAAAACTAGTTTTTAACGGTTTAATGCACGAACTTTATTTATTTATGAAGTTTCGCAGCCTTTTTCAGATTATTCTGACGATGCAGACCTGAAAAGGCTGCGAAACGTCATAAATAAATAAAGTTCGTGCATTAACCCGTTAAAAACTAGTTTTATTTATTTATATACTCACCAAAACATATAATATATGATGAAGCTATCGAAAGTTCCCGCTACCACAGCGAACGCAATGAACACTAAAACGCGGGGCATTCTCAACACCTGCCGCAGCGCGGCGCCACTGTCCTCAGGGCTGGAAAGAGACGGCAACTGTGAAACAAACGATCAATCAATCATATACACACTATGCTTACTTAAATATGTATTTCTATATAAATATACTTATATATGTACTGTATATGTATTCTATCCGTTACCCTAGTATCCCATAACACAAGCCTTACAGTGCTTACTTTGGGGCTAGGCTAATTGGTGTGAGTGTTGGAAATATTTATTTATATTAAACCTCGATTATGCGGGACGATTTTACAAGCTGCAAGCCAGCGAGTTCGCTAGTAGCTTGTAAACTCGCCCCGTATCATCGAGTAGGAGAGAGTGCGGCACATTAGCACATTTTCATATTTGGACTCATAAAAAATCAACTGTAAAGAGAAATAGGCTAGTTGACCCTTTTTGGAAAAAGGTTTTAAATGGTTAATAAATGTTCTATTAGACCGAAAAAAAAATGTATTGTATTTTTTTGAGACCTAGAAAGCTACAAATCTTTAATTTTAAAATAGACTTTTCATGGACATACAAAAACGCTGTCGGCCATTTCAGTCTATAGATTATCTATGCTATGACGTAACGTAAACAAAAACTCATAATAAACCGAGCAGAGATAATTTCGTACAATGACCCCTTCGCAAACGCACGCTGGCAAACAAATCGGTGTAATTACATTACCGATATAATTACATTGGTATAATTATCGTACAATAATTCATGCTTTGGCCTCTGGTGTTATGGAGCGGCAAGTCTTGCTTCGTCAATTATATGTGGGGTGTGTATATGTCCATAGGGAAGAACTGTGCCCCAGCAGTGGAGCCATTAATGGGACTAAAATATTTTTTTTTACGTACAGTCAACGCTCTACAGCTGTACAGATCTACAGCCGTCGCAGCCAGGGCCTCCATGAAGGCCGGTGTGAAATCCTTACCGCGTGACACTGCATCTACTATCCAACCGTCTAAAAGAGCAGTCATGCCTTGCCCGTGCCCAGTACGTGGCCCACGTGGTAGGTGATTATAGCCTAATCTCCTTATTCCATCTGTACTGTACGAAGGAAGGCTAAAGGGGAGGATCTTCCACTGACCTGGATGATGGTAGCTTGGGGGTCGGGCATTGCATATATAAGTGTTAGCCTCCGAATTTCGCTTGCGCGATATAGGCTCCCATACTTTTTGAGTGCAGCGCCATAGGTTGTTAGGTGAGGTGTGTAGATGTCCATAGGGAAGACCTGTGCCCCAGCAATGGGGATATTAAAAGGATTGAAATCATCTTCTACTCACAGTTAACGCCCTACAGCTGTACAGATCCACAGCCGTCGCAGCCAGGGCTAATATGAAAGCCGGTGCGAAATCCTTACTGGCGCCGCGTGACACGGCATCTACTAACCAACCGCCCAAAAGAGCAGTTATGCCGTATCCGGCGGTGCCCCAGGCTCTTTGAGCGCCATATTTAGAGGCTTTCTCCGGTCCTGAGAATGTATTTAAGTAGTCTTAGGATAGTGGCATTTGTTCGTGTTGAAGAAGGGTCATTTTTGTTCACAACATGAACAGGACTAAAACATTTTTATTAATATTGAAAACAACTCATGTCACGTGCAATGTGTGCGTGACTCTAATGAAGACTTGGATATTCGTATTTGCTATTTGTAAACTTGACAACAGTCTTTCCTTTTCATTCTCTATAGAGTAGGACAAGGACAACCTGCCGTCAAAATATCAAATACAAAATACGAATAGCCAAGTGAAGTGTCGGTATAATATCATATTGTTTCAAAGCCAACGATATTTTATACCCTAGATTCAATACACGAACTAAATCGTGGTCGACACCTGTAGAGAAAAATACATTTGACGATCCACGGATCTTCATGGTATGATCGCATAGTTAAAAACGATATAAGGCATTATTTAAACATTCAAAGTCACCTTTAATGCAAATTACTTAAAGTCTTAATTTAAACGCATGCGTCAAACAGTTACGACGGTTCGAAATGCAAGCTCGTAAAATTTTACAACTTGTTGTTACAGGCGAAAGAATATAGACTTTATTTCTTTGCATCAACGCGTAATAGGGGTGATGACGGGGTACAGTAAACGAAATTCTATTTAGTCCGTCAGTGAGATGATCAAAAAATAATGGACACGTATTTTTTCTTTGGGAAATCAGCCAAAAAATGACAAAGTTATAGCGCGTCAAAGTTTGGGAGCAGGGGCTCGTGACGTCACTTTTTAGTGAATATTCGCATAAAAGTGTACTCAAACGTGACGTCATGCGACTTTTCAGATCAATAAATCTCTGCAATGTTTACATTATGTGAAAAAAGAAAAAATACGTGTCCAATTCTTTTTGATAATCTACCTGATAAACGAAGAAAAAAAAATAGTCATCATCCCTATTATGAATGCGCTGTTAGCGATATAGCACGTAGGGCGCGCGAAGAAAAGAGACGCCTATATAATCGACCATGCATTTGAATATCACAAATATTGTCTATTAAATAAGTTTATAGTAAGTATTACAAACAAATTTTCGTCAAATGCGATAAATTAACTATTGTAAATGCGGTAACGCCCTACAGCTATACTGATCGACAGCCTAACAGATCTAACATCTGGGTTACAGCCCAATCTCCCTATTCATTTCCTAAGCAAGGCCTGCGCCCCAATAGTGGCAACATTATTAGGCTAGTAGTTGCACGGGCACAGAGATTAGACTTCTCTGTCAATGTTTTGGAGTATGACAATAATAAAATTAATCGGATTTGAACAGCAGAACTATTGCTAATGTAAAGAAATTTTTACTAGAATAAAATCCAGGCCGCCCAAATATCAGACAGGACTCGAACTTCGACCTTCTGCAATCTTTAGATTAAGAAATCAAGCAGATTAATTGTTACTAGCAAACCAGTGAACCAAATGTTCACCAAAACCTGATTTTAAAAAAAAATGTATTTAATTAATTGAGAACTTCGGAGATTTTGTGTGGTTTCGTTTGAAATTCGTGATTTCTCGAAAACCGGAAGTGCTACGTTACTCAAATCCGGTTTGTAGTCTTATCAGACTATTCTTAACTTATAACTTAAACATTCTCTTTATCTATCTCTTACGGTTTGGCCGCTGAAACAGCACCACAGACGGATGGACGGACGGACTTGTCTAATAGATAAGAGATAACAAAAATATAATAAGCCATAGTTAAATTCGACAGCGACAGGGTGCCAAACGAGGCTGTTCCGATAGGCTACCAAGTATTTCTAATGAGGGATGAACTTAAAGAGGAGCTCGATGGCGCCGGTGATTAGCGCGTTCGGCTGCGATCGTTGAAGTAAAGCCACTTTCGCAGTGGTCGGTCATTGGATGGGTAACCTTCTATCTCGAGTTCCTCCTTGCTTCGGAAGGCACGTTAAGCCGTTGGTCCCGGCTGCACCTGCAGTCGTTACCACCCGCCAATCCGCACTGGGCCCGCGTGGTGGGTCATGGCCCAATCTCCCTATTCCATCCATAAGGAAGGCATGTGCCCCAGCAGTGGGGACATTAATAGGCTGATGATGATGATGATCTTAAAATCACACAAACTTTTATTCGTAAAAGAAACCCTTTACTCACCCAATACATCAAAGCAGACCGCGTCGCCAATGCAATTCGCCACATTAAAAGCAACAGTGCCCAAGCACATCAGTATCACAAAAGCCCAAAAAGTTGTCGTCATATAAAAACTGGGATCCTCTTTTTCCAACTCCACTTTTCCATGAGACATCTTCGTCGCTTTGGAGTCAACATATTTCGACGAAATTACCTCCTTGTTCGAATCGAAAACCACACGATTTTCATTTGTCAAATTAGAGATTGCCCTTCGACCTCTAAATAGTAACGTCTCATTCACTTCCAAGTCGTTCTCAAAGCAGAGCAGGCTGCAATCAGTTTTGGGCATACATGAAATCCCTGAACCTCCATTCCCTACATCCATACCGTATCTGGCACAAGATTCGCGCGTCAAAACATCATCAACGAAAATAGTATTGACGAAAGTAGCATTCGGCAAATAGAAGTGGAACTCCTGATCGGAGCAGTTCCAGTTACATCTGTACCTATCCAAAGTTGTCGTGTTATCAGCAGTCCTCAAGTAGACGGTTTCGTTGAGGTTGTATACTGTTTTAGTGATAGGCGGTTCAATCTCTGGTGGTTCGGGCATAGGCAGGAACCATAGACAACAGTAGGAGCCAGTCATCACCGTGATAAGGAGCATGAAGACCAGCTTCCTGTGAGTCTAGAACAAGAGACCATAAACAATAAGTCATCAGAAGTGTTTAACTATTTGCAATGTTCTTCATTGGTGTTTTCATACGGTCCACTGCGCAACACAATCTTTATCTATCATTAAGTCACTTATTAATAAAACTTAAGCTGCATTTAACAGAAGTTTACCCCTTCTGTTAAATGCAGCTTAACTTTTATTAATTAACTAGCGACCCGCCCTCGCTTCGCTTCGGTGTAGAGCTGAAGCGTAGACTACAGTTTTTGTTCTCAGGCTTGTTATACACAATGACATTCATCTATGATTATTCTTATACTTGCATGCAAAGTCTCAGCCCGTTCGGTTTTAAAATTGACAAAGTTTCATACAAACTTTCATTCCCTATTTTATCCCTTTGGGGGTAGAATTGATCAAAATCCTTTCCTAGCGGATGCCTACGTCATAACATCTACCTGCATGCCAAATTTCAGCCCGATCCGTCCAGTGGTTTGGGCTGGGCGTTGATAGATTACTACGTCAGTCAGTCACTTTTGAGTTTTATATATATAGATTATAAAAAAACTGAAGATGGTATATTTATCTTTTCCAAACTTCTATTGACATCACGTCGCTCAATTGTTTTGCCTTCCCAGAATCTCTCCACTAACATTTGAAATTTATGGTATGGTATTAAAGTTCAAATTGACTTTTAAGTATTATTACGAATCGTTTGTATGGGAGTAAAGAAAAGCTTTGTTTTTTGACATTTTCAGGCATTTTTTTTAATTTTTCTCTTCGTAAGAACCATCCTCGTACTTCAAGGAATATTCTAAAAAAAATCAGCCAAATCGGTCAAGCCGTTTTCATGTTATGTCGTGACAACGGAAAACGGGTTTCATTTTTATATATATAGATAAATATAGAATACTAGCGGACCCGACAGACATTGTCCTGTCTACACGTCTTTAATTTGAAAATTTCAAACTTTTTTTAATAAGCTAAAACATTCTGGACCATTTTGATGAAAATTACCATTCTCAGATCCCCTTGAACACACACAAAAAATTTCATCAAAATCGGTCCAATCGTTTAAGAGAAGTTCAGTGACATACACACTCACAGAAGAATTATATATATAAAGATTTGACACTGCGATGGTAGCGCCGTCTGTCGGATCCAATGTAAAACATTCCAAAATCAACAACTACTAATAAATTAAAAATTAATTAAAAAAAACATTGTCCAGCGGACAAAATTGTGAATCTAAACCATTCTCAGATCCCCTTGAACACACACAAAAAATTTCATCAAAATCGGTCCAGTCGTTTAAGAGAAGTTCAGTGACATACACACTCACAGAAGAATTATATATATAAAGTTAATAATTAACAAAGGATAATTTAAGGTCGCAAACGTTACGTTTTTTATACCCCGAAGTTCATTATTGTCATTAATCTTTTAGAAAAAATTTATCAAGTCTGCTTAAGATAAGGCTAGTCTCAATGACTCTTCTTACTGAGGTATTTTTAATTTATCTGCTACTGCCGAACATGACTACGGAACATGTTTTTTGGTGCCGTTTAAGGGCGTGCGTTGCCTTAAGCGGGACACGGAGCGTGCGTCCGCTCGGTGTGCAGTTTTTAAGTAATTTCATAAACAGCGCGGCGCGGGAGACCCGCCTCACGCAGCGCTGTTCCATGGAATAACATGAAACAATAATTGAGCAGCGCTGCATGAGGAAGGTCCCCGCGCTGTTCTATGAAATTACATAAAAACTGCACACAGAGCGGACGCCCGCTCCGGGTCCCGCTTAACACAGCGTAGGCTCTTGCGATTTAGCTTAGAGCTAAAAAACTAGCTGCTGGAAAACACATATCCGAAGACCAGTTTAGCTGCGGCCACCATCCCCATAACAGCTGGGCGTGTCTCCTACACGCCCAGCTGGCGTCCGAATACATTCAACTGGGTCTATAGCTAGAAAATCAGTTAGTTCATCCTTACCGGCCAGTAGTCAACCACATATCCGAAGAGCGGCTTCACTGCGGCCCAAAGCAGCGGAAGCACTGCGGTCACCATCCCCATAACGGCAGGAGACACGCCCGGCTGGCGTCTGAATACATTCAATTGGGTCTATAGCTAGAAAATCTGTTAGTTAATCCTTACTGGCCAGTAATCGACCACATTTCCGAAGAGCGACTTCGCTGCTGCCCAAAGCAGCGGAAGTACTGCGGTCACCATCCCCACAAAGGCAGGAGACACGCCCAGTGTCGCCCGAATACATTCAACTGGGTCTATAGCTAGAAAATAAGTTAGTTTATCCTTACCGGCCAGTAGTCAACCACATATCCGAAGAGCGGCTTCGCTGCGGCCCAAAGCAGTGGAAGCAATGCGGTCACCATTCCCATAACGGCAGAAAAAACGCCCAGTTGCCATCTGAATACATTCAGCTGGGTCTATAGCTAGAAAATCAGTTAGTTCATCCTTACCGGTCAGTAGTCGACCACATATCCGAAGAGCGGCTTCGTTGCGGCCCAAAGCAGCGGAAGTACTGCGGTCACCATCCCCACAACGGCAGGAGACACGCCCAGTGTCGCCCAAATACGTTCAACTGGGTCTAAGTAACTGATTTTCTAGCTATAGAGTTAAAAAATCAGTTCATCCTTACCGGCCAGTAGTCAACCACATATCCGAAGAGCGGCTTCGCTGCGGCCCAAAGCAGCGGAAGCACTGCGGTCACCATCCCCATGACGGCCGGAGATATGCCCAGCTGCCGCCCGAACACATTCATCTGCGGCAGGAGTGGACCAAGAGCTGGAAAACAAATTTTAACTAATTTATTGTAGTTCTGTTTTTATTTTTTAAGCATTTAACTGCTAGATGTTTAAATCTAAAGTTTAAAAGAAAAAAATTACGCGGACCAGGCAGCGGTCGGGACTCGAAGCCGCACCCTTCGCAATCCGGGCGAATGCACTGACCAATTATGCTACCACGGCCCTGATGGCCGCGTCGAAATTTTCCTAGCCTTTTTTTCTAGTAAAACTTTTCCTTATTTTATTATATTTTTATTTCAAGCATTTAACTACTAGCCTCCTTAAATCTAAAGAAAAGTTTACTAGAAAAATATCCACGCGGACCAGGCAGCGGACGAGACTCGAACCCTGCCTGCTGCCTGGTCCGCGTGGATTTTTTTTTCTAGTAAACTTTTCTTTAGATTTAAACATCTAGCAGTTAAATGCTTAAAAATAAATAAAAAACATACTAGCCTCCTTATTAATAAACGAAGAATACGCTTGAATTAGTTACTCCATGTTTTGTCTCTGTTTATGTCAAATAGCTTTTCTTTTAGTATGCTGTTGGTCGTAGATGACCTTTACAACGTCACCGGGTTTGGGAACGGCGGAGATCATAAGGCGACCTCAAGCTGAGAATTGGCGAGGGCCTCTAGAGGTATTCCAGGCGGATGGCATCTCCCCACGGGGGTAGTATCCTCTCCGTCTGGAGCCTCTAGACCACTCGAACCCTACACGCGGATAAAATCAACGCAATCATAAAATAATGTTCTGTTTAGTTCGGCCGTTTATGATCTGGATTATAAAACAAGCGGTTTAATTTTTAAAATAAAAATATAACAAGCTAATAAAATGATTCCACGCGGGCCAAGCAGTAGACGGGACTCAAACCTGCGCTGCATTGCACCCTTTTTTTTTATACGCAGGCAAAAAGTAATGTTTACAGACGATGGCTCCTTTAAGAGGCACACCGCCGAACGGACCTCACACCTGGCTCCCGCAAGCCTTACAAGCCCCAGCAGTGGCTACCCACTGAGGACCCCGTAACTCTTACGGGCGCTTTACGGCATAATATACGCTAAAAAAACCCTGCGAATACCCTCTAAGCTGCTTAGCGCAAAGCTGCGGGATCCCCGTTTAGGGATTCTTCCGCGTCTTCGTAGCCTCCCGGCCTAGCCGGGGCTCCACGGCAGGGGTCTCCCGGGATATCGCGGGGACCCCGCAGACGTGCGCAGGATGGCCTAGTGCCCACCGTACCGCCCCCCGTGTAGCGGCGGAGGGCCGCCGCCCTCCTCTTTGCAGAACAGAACTACAGGGGGGGGGGGCTGCCGTCACGGGTGCATTGCAGCATAAGAAATATTAGTAACCTAGAGGTCCCGGTTTCGAATCCCGGTGGGGGCAGATGTTTGTGTGCTGAATATGAACATTAGCACACTTAAGTATTTATTTCTTAATAAAATATACTACTATATGTATGTACTATATGTATTTTATCCGTTACCCTAGCATCCCATAACACAAGCCTACAATGCTAACTTTGGGGTTAGGCTAATTGGTGTGTGTTGGAAAAAAAATACAATTCATTCTATTTTATTTAATCGAATTTTTACACAGACGATAGACAATCTTTTGATATATATTTTGTCGTCGATATATTCGTCTGTTGTGTAATGTGTTGCAGTAATTGTCTAGATAATCTTATCCATTTACCAAGCTTGGAAAGGCTAAAGAGAACACTCATAATGGGTTATAAATAGGGTTGACAACCCTACTATATAATATAGTATCCCAATATATTAGGGGATCAAATACTATACATATTTCTAAAAAATATGTAGTAAAGAAAATATAACTAGAAAAAATTCTACGCGGACCAGGTAGCAGACGGGACTCGAACCCGCACCCTTTGCAATCCAGGCGAATGCACTGACCAATTATGATAGCCACGGCCCTGATGGCCGCGTCGAAATTCTTCTAGCCATTCTTAAGCTAAAAGGTTAAGCAAAATCTACAATCGATACCGAAGCCAAAAAAAGTACTGCATGGATTTACTTTTTTGGCACGAATATTATTATGAAGTCGGTTTAACTATATAGGCTACATATTATCACGCTATCACCTACGGGGAACGGGCAGTGTACCTTTATTTCTAACTAACTCCACGCGTATGAAGTCGCGGGCGGCATCTAGTCTACTATACGACGACCTCCGTGGCCGAGTGGTTTGTACGCCGGGTTTCATGGCTGTCGCCGACTCGAGAGGTCCCGGTTCGAATCCCGGTGGGGGCAGATGTTTGTGTAATGAATACGAGCATTTGTACTCCAGTCATGGATGTTTAATATGTATTTATATAAATATAGTTATATATGTACAGTATATGTATTCTATCCGTTACCCTAACATCCCATAACACAAGCCTTATAGTGCTTACTTTGGGGCTAGGCTAATTGGTGTGAGTGTCGGAAATATTTATTTATATTTTTAGAGGTAACAGCTTCGTAAATACTATATTTGATAGAAAAAAAGTTGGTAACCCTTGTTATATCTGTACTTACATACGTTTGTTAATTACACTACTATCTGTAGTTCATAAAACGATAATACTGAGTGATAAACGTCTCATTTAATAACTATTACTATATTTGTCTTTATACATACTCGTATGGGTATTAAGAAAAGTTAAAAATATTCCAATTGGATGTTTAAACGAATTATGTATTTGAATTGTGAAACCTTTTTTAAATAATAAATTAGGTCAGGGAGTATAAAATAGCGAGATTCTAAGCCAAATGCCGTCCATTCTATAATAAAAACTAAAGACTACCTATTTAAAAAATCTTCAGTCCTACCGCATGGCTTGTGTTAAAGGATACTAGGATAACGGACATAATTCAATAATACCTTCATCACATCATCATCGTCATCACCAGCCTATTAATTTCCCAATATGGATGGAATAGGGGGATTGGGCCATGACCCACCACGTGGGCCCAGTGCGGATTGGTGGGTGCTAACGACTGCAGATGCAGCCGGGATCAACGGAAGGCACGTTAGCCTTCCGAAGCACGGAGAAGCTCGAGATAGTGCGAAAGTTTCTTAACTTCAACGATCGCAGTCGAACGCGCTATCTTGCGCCATCGAGCTCCTCCATTACATAATTAATCTCTTATCTATTAGACAAGTCCGTCCGTCCGTCTGTCTGTGGTGCTGTTTCAGCGGCCAAACCGTAAGAGATAGATAAAGAGAATATTTATTTAAGTTATAAGTTAAGAATAGTCTGATATGACTACAAACCGGATTTGAGTAACGTAGCACTTCCTCCCTTCCACACAAAATCTCCGAAGTTCTCAATTAATTTTTTTTTTTTTTTAAATCAGGTTTTGGTGAACATTTGGTTCACTGGTTTGCTAGTTATAACATAATTAAATTCACAAGTAGACGTAGTGGTGATTATAATGTAGGTATTATGAAATATATTCATAACTATGTCATATCTTTAAAATTCCTACATTATAATCACCACAACAGTAGGAATATGTTTTCTTAAAATATAATTAAAAAATAAACAATCATAACTTACGCGGACCAGGCAGCGGACGGGACTCGAACCCGCACCCTTCACAATCCGGTCGAATGCACTGACCAATTATGCTACCACGACCCTGACGGCCGCGTCGAAATTTTCCTAGCCTTAAGCTGCAAAGGCAGCGCCATCTCTTCGCATTGTAGGTAACCCACAATGTCAAATGAATACTTTTTCAAGTATTAAATATTTGAAAGAAGAAATAGCAATTATAGTTAAGTATATTTTAATTTTTAAGCATTTAACTGCTAGATGTTTAAATCTAAAGAAAAGTTTCACTAGAAAAAGAAAATCCACGCGGACCAGGCAGCGGACGGGACTCGAACCCGCACCCTTCGCAATCCGGGCGAATGAATGTTTTTTTCTAGTGAAACTTTTCTTTAGATTTAAACATCTAGCAGTTAAATGCTTAAAAAAATAAAAACAAATCATAACTTAGATAAAAATGATCTTACTCTTCAAACATTTGCCCCAACCGGGATTCGAACCCAGTACAGGACCCCAGGCTATGACGATGATCACCAAATGGAAAAATACAAGAATCCAAAATTTTTCATTTACAACACCGGACGTAATTTAAAAAATTTGCTCTCGTTTTACGACACGTTTCATTTAAGGCGCGAACAAATTACTTGTTTATTAGGTACACTACATATGACAACGAGTAATTAACAATGCAAACAGTTATAAACTGTACGTGTACGTACACACTAAATGAAATTTCCCGTCGACACAATGTGTCACGTGAATTCAGAATGAACTAGAGTAGAGTAAGTCATTGATCATTTTTTCACAAATTATTCCACCCACAGAATAATGACGCGATTACAATTGGTCATCATCATCATCAGCATCAGCCTATTAATGTCTCCACTGCTGGGGCACAGGGCCTCACCCACCACGCGGGCCCAGTGCGGATTGGCGGGTGCTAACGACTGCAGATGCAGCCGGGACCAACGGCTTAACGAGCTTCAGAAGCACGGAGGAGCTCGAGATAGTAAATTTTTGGTCACCCATCCAATGACCGACCACTGCGAAAGTTGCTTAACCTCAACGATCGCAGCCGAACGCGCTAACCACTTGCGCCAACGAGCTCCTCCGTACAATTGGTCGATGGCCTGAATTCGAGTGCCAATAGAATTCGGGTAAACGACTAAGTGAAAATTAACGTAGTATAGAGTACGCCCGTATTATATTTCCTTTTGTAAATTTCCAGTGTAAATATTGCTTCGGTTGCCCGAATTCAAGTAATGTCTTTCGTGCACCCAATACGAGCTAATGACCAATTGTAATTGCGCCATAAGGCAAACAAAGACAATTGAATAGAACTGCGTTTCTACCAATTAGCGCATCGCTAGTCTTTGATATTACAAACAATTCTTTATTTTTTTTATAGCGAGGTATGCAAATGACTCAACCCCACCTGATGTTAAGTGGTG